CACAACGAACCAATTCAAGTTTTTCCCAAATACGCATGCATGTTCTCCTGTTCACGAATACGTTCGTTTGGATATGTTTTCTCATACATGGACGAATACATTGTTTTTTAGTGTTTTCTTAACTTTTTTATTAAAATATTTTTCCATTTTTTAATTTTGAATCGTGGTTGGCAAAGAATTTGAAAATGTTTCCCAAACAAAAGTTGTTTGAATTTTTTTTTTATATAACATATATATTTTTCCAAAATTTTTACAAATAAATTAAAAATGGACTTATATTAATTTATAGTTCTATAAACCAATTTTCATAAAGGTTGATTTTTACCAAATTGTTGAAAATGACTTAGAATTCTATAAATGAGTATTCATTGAAACTGTTTTTTTTAAGATCTTTCGAGTTCGCCTTGCAGTCATTGAGATATGCTTTTTGCCAATCTATTGAGAATAACTTATAGTCTTATAAGATGGACTTTGCTGGAAATGATTTTCTTGCATATTTTAAGGATCACTAGACTTTTTGCCCATTTTTTGCCTTTTTCTCAGAAAACAGTTAAAAAGATTATCTTTTATATGTGAAAAATAAATGTTTATCTTTAAATTTTTCATTCTATAAAAAATGTTAGGTTTTGTGGTTTTGTTAGGTTTTCACAAATTCAATGTTTCAATCAATCAATCAATCAATAATAAAAAAAAGTGCGGGGCTTCATTTTTTTTCTTTTTATTTTTTCATTAATCAATCAGTCAATCAATCAATTAATCAATCAATCAATCAATCAATCAATCAATCAATCAATCAATCTATCAATTTTTATTTATTTATTTTGTTTTGTTTTTTTCGCATTTCGATGTTTTTTATTTTTTTAAAATATAAAAAACGATAAAAAAATAAAATAAAAAATATGAGGGTCCAGAGCTACGTAGCACCATGTTCGCGTTCGGAAGCGAACGCGAACATATTCGTCCGAACGCGAAAAAGCGCCCAAAACCCTCAGAACGCGAACATAAAAATTAAAAAAAAAAAAAAAAAATCTCAAAAAAATCGAAAAAACATGTATGTTATGAAAAATAACAATACAAGCAACTTTTGCCTTGGAGTCATGTTCATATTCGTAGCCAATCATGAGTTAAAAAGCAGTAACCGAAAAACAATTACGAGTTCTTTGTGATGCCTTTCAACCTCACAAATGTCCCAGCAACCTTTCAACAGGATACGTCGACCGCGGATGCGCCTCAGATATTAAAAGCTATCAAATACCGAAAAACAATTACGAGGTCGACCGCGGATGCGCCTCAGATATTAAAAGCTATCAAACACCCGCGGACGCGTCCGCGGGGTCGGCCTCGGAGGGCGGCCGTATATACGGCCGCATCCGAGTTCTTTGTGATGCCTTTCAACATACGGCCGCATCCACGGTCGACCTCGTCCGCGTCGCGGACGTGAATTTGCCGCATTTTTTCCTGAATTTAATAATGGGTAAAAAAAAATAAAAAATATGGGGTTGTATATATGTTTTTTTGGAAACAGATAATTTTTTAGAATCATAAAAAATAAAAAACAGAAAAGGTGGAGAAGAAAAATTGAAAAATAA